ATAAAAGCAGAAGCATGGTCTGTAGAGTGAGTCTGGTCTAAAGAAGTACTCTACTGCTTCATATAGCTCTGCATTCATGAAAACCCTGCTAACCATGGCTGACAATTACAACTGACAAAACAAACAACTGCTCTAGATTACAGGAAGAGCAAAATAGTGCTCAACTTCAAGATAAGAATGGTTTAAAAAGAAAAGAAAAAAACCCACAAAACCAACAACAACAACAACAAAAAAAAAAAAAAAAAAAAAAAAAAAAAAAAAAAAAAAAAAAAAAAAAAAAAAAAAAAAAAAAAAAAAAAAAAAAAAAAACAAAAAAAAACCAAACAAACAAACCCCAGTTTATCTGTAGTTTTTCTTCTGATTTGGAAAAGTGACAGATTTTATGCTATGGAGACCTGTAGAAGCTTTAAGTTACAAAGACTAACACAATGCTTTATGCTAGTGACATGACTTCCACACCCTCAGCTCAATATACAGGGTTTATATTATAAATATATTAATCAATACCACTGCAAGGCCGGAAAGCACAAACTCCTCATGCACTTAGCAGTGCTGGGAAACCAGTGAAGCTAAGTTATGCTGATGTGGTTTACTTTTAAGGGTGATGAGGATGGTGCTTTACTTCACTTTTGTAATGCATTGTCAGAAAGGCAAAAAACTGCTGCTTTCCACTTACATACTATGTGGCTCACTCTCAGGTTTTACCTAGGTAAGATTATTTTAAGGAGTGTTCTCAGCAGACAGACTACTACATTTGCACTGAAACAGTTCAGTTCCAAGAGTACAGACAAGAAATCAAATAGAAACATTCATTTAAACTTTGTGGTTAAATAATTATTTGTAGCAGGAAGTCTACCTTCCTATTTTTTTATCAGCTGATTCATCTAGATCAGATCTTGTATCAGTTTTGATCAAGATTACACAGTCAGTGTAATTTAGAAAGCTCTCAAGGTTTCTGAACCTTTTCAGTCTTATGTTAAGAAAGGTTGTGGGTAGTGTAGCTGAGTGATAGGCCTCTCTGTATGCCCAGAAAACTGTTATGCAGGACACAGAGTGCACTCAAATAACACTTGTGGGGAAAGTCCAGGGAAGGATCATTGCAATATATCATGGGTTCTAATCTTCCAGGCTGCAACAGGCAGAAGTGACAGGCAGAAGTTGTTTCATAGTGTATTCTGGAAGAGAGGGTGTGGAGGGTTTGGCAGGTGAATTCCCCCTTCACAAACATGCTCATAGTCTATAGCTCCTGGCATCTTGCCTGTTTTTCTGGTTTGAAAAGGGAGGGGTGAATTTCCATATATAAAAGTCCTTCTGTCTACAGGTCACCTCAAATAGCTGTTAAAGAGCTGCCACACTTTCCTAGCTGGCCTTAAGCCTCAAACTCTATGATAGAGAAACTTTTTTTTCCAAAGGCACAGGGGGACATAAAATATTATCTTTTTTGATTTTTTAAAAAATATAAACATTTGAACTACACTGGAAATATTGTTCAGATACAAATAGGACTTTCTCCTAAAGAGGGCAAGAAATATTTGGGGAGAAAGATGTTTGTATTTCTGTTTTCACTTTCTACATTAAATCATTCAATGCTTGTGGGTGCTACATTTCCTCTTCTTGTAATGCTCTAATTGAAACACTCATATAAGCACTGGAGCAAATAGCTCTGGCATTTTCTTTTTTCACCTCAGGATTGTAAATATGTGAAATTCTAAAAAATGCTTTATAATACCAACAAAACAGGCACTTGTGACGTGAGAAAAAAGGGGTTCTGAAAGTCCTGCTGCACTTATCTACTGGTAAGTGCATCCCAGAGCTCCATAACTGTTATTTTAGAATTGACTGGAACATTTGAATCTAAATCACTTGCTTGATTCTGACTGGCCAAATGTTCATCTACAATGATTTCACACTAGAATATTCAAGAATTCCAACAGCTGTACTTTTCAACTGGCCTAGCAATCTTCCATTTTAGAAAATATGTTTAAATACCTGGCTTCTAAAAATAGTAATAGGAATGAGGTGAGGGTTGAGAGATGCTCTGCAGGAAGAATAAAGAGCACTCTGTAAAAGATTCTATGAAAGAATGAGGCTCTGTAACTCTTTAAAGAACAGAGGTTCCTTATTTTATATACATTGCTGACACATCTGGAGGAGCACAGGCTGTTATCATTAATTTTAAAATAGTCAATAGTTAGAGAAAGTCTAGGCAATTATACATATGTAATAATTATATTTTATCCACTGCTAAAATGCAGTGCAGGGTGAAACACAGTAACTGTAAAAAAGGACTTAACAGCGCTACAGGGGTTTTAGATGTCTGATAACCAGTGACTGATATTAATGGATGACTTCAGAATACCACAATTTTAAGTCATTCACTGCAAAAGGTCGTCATGTTTTCAATCTTAAAAAGCTACTAACAGTATGTATGGCTGAATCAAGAAACCAACCAAGATACCTTTGCTATATCGCCTTGACAAAAATAGTTTCATTTTTCCACTCTGTGTAGCCTGCTTACTTCATCTATAAACTTTTGGGATTACTGAGTGTATTTCTTGTAATGTTTTTGAACAGTAAGAAGCACAGTGAGGTTTAAATCCTCACTGGAATGTCTAGGTGCTACTTTGATATGAGTAAATAAGTTACAAACAGTTAAATAAGTAGTCACATTTTAAGATGCATTTTAGTGCAATTACAGTCTGCAGGAACAAGAATGAATGGCAAAAGATTTGCCTGCAGCTTGGGAGAGGATGGATGCAGTCTGAGACAATGCTGGCTTCTGCCACAGGCTGTATTTCCAGTTATGCTGACTGCAAAGTGAAAGAATATTTTGCATAATGGAATTCGCCTTTTTTTTCCTATATGAGCCAACCACAGAAATCACACCCTAAATTGCTCTTTTATAAGTCACAGTACAGATTACTATCACGTGCTGCTCAGTGACATTCCACTCTCTCATAAATGTATTTATTGCTTACTTTCTTAAATTCCTGCTAGAGACTATTAAAAGTACTTGCCAGTAAGATCTTGATTTAAACTGGATAAGTATTCCCAGAAAGTCAAAACTGTTAGCATAGTCCTTGCACTATATGGCACAGTTGTATGATGCTGAACAATTTGGATGTATATAGAACACATTCCTGAGGTGGTGCCTCAGCCAGCTGTGCTGGTGCTAGCCAGTATGAATAGGTAGTGTGAAGATCAGTGTATGTTCACAGCAGAAGGTGGCCAGGAATCCAAGAGAAGAGAGAGAGTCACTGTTAGGATGACAATAGTAAGAGAAGGAGTAAGCTCCTCTGGCTCTGCCTGGAAAGCAGGTCCCTTTTTTGAATACAAAAACTGGAACTGTACTGTAGTGCTTGTTTCTTTATATGTGGGAAGGATAACCCTATGGATACTTTTGAAAAATAATCAGGTCAAGTCAGAGACCATGCTGCTTATCTTTCATGTATCTTATTTAGATTTTTTTGGTAGTCACTTAGGATTCATGCAATAGTTGTTTTCACAACTACTGTGAATACCTCCCTGAAAATTCTTGATTCAACTCAAATCATACTGTGAGGTTCACCTTGGAAATGGGACATGATGTGGTGGTTCCTTGGTTCCTTCCTTCCCCCTAGCAAAAGCTTTCCAGCATGCTTCTGTTTGGGCAAATGGGACTTGGAGCTCAACACACGGAGTTTAATTTTGTTGCTCTGCTGCTCTGTTCTGTTGAACTGGGCTCTACTGTTTCCTGTTTGCAGAGGATTGGAGTGGTTAAGCCCCAGGAAGCAAGTGCTGATTTTAAAATAATGTACCTTACTAATCCATTGAAAAAGTGAATGTAACATACCATTTTTATAAAGAAAGTGACACTTTTTTTCAGAGTACACAGCAGAAAGTAACTGGTGATCTGAGACAGTCATTTTTGTTTTCCTAGAACTTCAACCTTCAGCTGACACTCCTTTAGCACTAAAAACAAAACAAAAGAACACTCAACCACCCCACATCACCAAGTACTCTTACTCAGTATCTTCTTAGTCATTGTACAGACAAGACTACACAGTCTGGGAGATCTGCCCAGAAGATTGGGTAATCAGTTTAAAAATGACAAAAATGACAGACCGAGAGTTTTAGTCCAAAAATCTAATGCCTGAACAAATGCTTGTCATTACAGTGAGGTGGTACACCATACCCTGATATAGTGCAACTAATTACAGCCATTTGATGTTGTAACATGGCTGTTTGAGGAAGTTCATGTGTTACCATTTCAAATAATGTATCACAAATACTCTGTGGTGTTGGCATTGAGGAGTTACCACTCTTCATTTTACGACGTAGATAACAATTCAACAGATGGAGGATCAGTGTGGTCTCATTTCAGGAATCACCCATATGCAGAAGAAAGAAACACTCCCCTGGAGAATGCAGACCCTTGAAGATATCCAAATGATTGCCAAAACAAAAATGTCATAGAATCACAGAATTGTTTAGGTTGGAAAAAAACTTAAGATCATGAAGTCCAGCTGTTAGCCCAGAACTGCCAAGTCCACCACTAAACCACGTCCGTAAGTGCCACGTCTGCACACCTTCTAAATAACCTCAAGGATGGTGACTCCATCACTACCCTGGACAGTTTGTGCCAATGCTTGACATCTTGTTACTTGGGAGAAGAGACTGACCACTACCTGGCCACAACCTCCTTTCAGGCAGTTGTAGAGAGCAAGAAAATCTCTCCTGAGCCTCCTTCTCTTGAGGCTAAACACCCTCAGCTCCCTCAGCCGCTCCTCACAGGACTTGTGCTCCAGAGTCTCCCCCAGCTCCATCGCCCTTCTGTGGACTTGCTTCAGACCCTCAATGTTCTTACAGAAGTGAGGGGCCCAGAACTGGATTTGAAGTACAGCTTCACTAGTGCTGAGTACAGAGGGATGATCACAGCCCTGGTCCTTCTGGCCACACTATTGCTGATCCAAGCCAGGATGCCTGTGACCTTGCTACCTGGGCACACTGCTTACTCATGTTCAGCCTCTGTCAACTAATACTCCCAGGTCCTTTTCCACTAGGCAGCTTTCCAGCCACTCTTCCCATAGCCTGTAGCACTCCCTGGGATTGTTATGATCCAAGTGCAGGACCCAGCCTTTGGTCTTGTTGAACCTCATAAAACTGACCTTAGCCCATTTATCCAGGCTGTCCTGATCCTTCTGCAGAGCCTTTCTGTCCTCTAGGAGATCAACACTCTCACCTAACTTAGTGTCATCTGTGAACTTAGTGAGGATGCCCTTGATTCCCTCATCCAGATCATTGATAAGGATATTAAATAGGACTGGCTTAAATACTGAGCCCTTTGGGACACCACTTGTGACTGGCTGCCAACTGGATGCAACTCCATTTACCACCATTCTCTGGGCCCGGCCATCCTGACAGTTTTTACCCTGTGAAGAGTGCACCTGTCCAAGTCATGTGCTGCCAGCTTCTCCAGAAAAGTGATGTGGTGTCAAAGGCTTTAATGAAGTGCAAGTAGACAGCATTCACAGCTTCTCCCTGAGAAGATCAGGTGGGTCAAGCAGGACCTGCCTTTCCTAAACCCATGATGGCTGGGCCTGATCTGCTAGTTGTCCTGCATGCTCTGAGTGATGGCACTCACACTGATCTGCTCCATGACCTTCCCAACACCAGCGTCAGGTTGACAGGCCTGGATTCTCCTTTCAGCCTGTCTTGTATGGGGACATCACATGTGCCATCCTCCAGTCAACTGGGGCCAGCCTGGTTAGCCAGGACTGTTAGTAAATGATGAAAATGGCTTGGTGCGCTGTTCTACCAGCTCCCTCAGTACCCTTGGGTAAATCCTATCTGCCCCCATAGACCTGTGTGTGTGTCTAAGTGGTGTAGCAGGTAATTTACCATCTCCCCTTGGATTATAGTCTTCATTTTGCCCATCTCTGTCTTCCACATCAGTGGGCTGAGTATCCAGAGAACAACTGGTTTTGCTATTAAAGACTGAGAGAAATAAGGCATTAAGTTCCTCATCTGCTTTCTCATCCCTTGTCACAATGTCTCCCTCTGCATCCAGTAAATGATGGAAATTCTCCTTTTGTTGCTGGTGTATTTATAGAAACATTTTTTCTTGTCTTTTACAGTAGTAGGCATCTTAAATTCTTGTTGAGTTTTGGCCCTTCACTAGGATGTTTTTCTCTGTAAAAATTCTCTTTTGACCTGAGACATGATTTCTGTTATGAAAATATATTTAAAAATAGCTTGAAAGGCGGTTTCTCAGACTAAGACTGAAATTGTTGGTAGATGTGCTTGAAAGGAAGTAGTTCACACCTGTGGCGACATTTCTTTGTAGGTGTCTTTATTTAGAGAACATTTTGACACAGATCTGATACCTCTCAACTTCAGGCAGCTGAGAGGATTAAATTTTTTTCTTAAAAAATGGTTGGAAAAAATAAATCAACTTGATTGTCAGTGTAATATTTTTACATAGGTAAATAATACAATGTGATTATCTGTAGCAACAAAAGAAAAAACCAACCCAACCTAAACTGTTGTGTGGAATGCAGAATTTATCACACTCCTAGAGATTGTAAACTTGCAGAAATGCGTATGAATGTGAGAATTAGCTGATGTCCAACAGCATTGAGAAGATGGGCCGGGAGATGGGTAAAGTTTCTACTCATGTAAAAGCATGTAAGCCATAAACAAGTGACATTTAGTGCAGAGACAGAAGTCTATAGGCTTTATTCATGTTTTAAATTAGCATGTTTTAAGTCATCATTTGAAGCAATTTGTACTTGTTAGTTTGAACTGGCCCAGTTGTTGAACTTAGCCCAACATTTGGGTAACTAAACTTGTATTATGGGGTTTAGAATGTTAAACAAGGGAGTTATGCTAATGTGGATTTTATTTTCATGGCTCTGTGTATTTGGTTGGCAAAACAAGAAACTTTTCAGACTGGTCTGTTGGTGTAAAGAGTATGTCATTAAGAACTGAACTCATCCTATAGCTTTCCACTGACCTCTGTGGTTTGAACTGGTGATTTTGGTTCAGCTCACAGAAGCCAGCTGTGTAAGCACTGGCCTTTTAAATCTTGAAGGCATGACAACCCCACTTTGTCCTCATCACTTTGCTATGTTTAACCTGTAAATACAGCTCTGCATTCCACGTGCTGTTCACCCAGCATCTTGTTTTGGGGAAAATGATGTGCTGAGGTGCTTACCAAATGATGCAGCCCAAGAAAAGTTGTACTGACGACATGTACCATATCTGCTGTACCTTCATGGGTGGTACTAGAGGGCAACAACATTTTTATTTGGGTTAGCTAGAGGATGTGAAACAAAACTGTCCTCTGTGATGATGAGTATTATGTTACGAGTTCAGTTAGAATTCTCAAAACCTATCAGGAGAGCAGCTGGAACATGCTCTTCATGTATTAATTTGTTTAATCTCTTTTCTGTAGTTTGGGATGTCAGAGTGGTACTGTAACTCCAAAATCTCTGCCTATGCTCTTCCATCATCTAAGAGAATTAAGGAGATGAAAGGACAAAGAGGATCAATGAGACAAAAGTAGAGCTAATCTCAGCTGGCACCTCTACCTTCCTAACCCAGAGACTAATCACACAAAGTAAGTGCCATGAAGAAGGTTGGCACTTCATTTTCCTGAAGATAAAAGTCTGTTTCTTGGTCCTTTCCTTCTGCAGATTTTTGCAAAGAATAAGCATAGTCCAGTGGCTAGGATCTGCTGTTAGGCTCTGTGTCTACATTGTGCCCTGAGAATAGCCACCTAAAATCTTTACTTTTCAGCCCTTAATTTGCTTCCTGCATTCCTCCAACCAATTGTCATAAATACTAAACACTCAAAACAAGTTCCTGTAAGGAGAAAAAATAGAAATATTTTGGAGGGTTAACACCTGAACACTAAAGTTAGTTCCTGTCAGCCCCAGTTTTTAGTGTCTCATCTTTCTGCCATATGTGCCATTGGGATAATACTATTTGCAAGCCTACTGGGAAGATTTCAGTGACGGAATGATTACTTTTTGTTAAGTGCTAAATTTCATTAGAATGTATAAAAATATCCTCCAGTTTGCTACAAAATCTCTGTGGATTTTAGGAAGCAGGCACTATCCTCACATAAAAACTGAGAGGATAATAAAAGCTCTGTGAAAGCAGACTCTCTTCCTGTTTGCCACCTTATCAAAAAACACCAGAAGCAAGAAAAAACTGGTGCTTGCTTTTTTTGTCCCCCTCATTTACATAAATCACTCACCCTGGTTCCTGCCACAGTTTTATGGTATGCTTCTTACACTTGTCTGACATGTGCTGATCTTATATTTACAAAATATTGAAAACTAGTGTTGATAGATGTGACAGTCAAATGCAATTTTCGTTGTGAAAAATAAATTGGAAAAGTATTTCTTCCTGTTTTGTGTGACAATCATCACAGTTAAGAAGGTGGCGCTTGAATTAACAAAAACTACTCCAATAAAGGAGTAATATGGCTGAAAGTCCTGACATATTGATTTTTGCATTTCTGAAACTAAGTATTATGAGCTCTGCATCAGTGTAGGAGAGGCTTGACCTGTGCTTTTAAAGTGCCTATAAATGCAGCATTTGATTCACTGAACAGTAGATGTGAATATATGAGTGAAAACACTAAAATCCTGATGTGAATTTGTTAGGCATAAAAAAACCCCAACATAACAGAAGGAAGTAGAAGGATGACAGGACACAAATTGCTCCTCATGACCTATGCCACTGATAAGTCACTACATCTGAGTGGAAATTTCCATGTATATTAATTACAGTGAACCCTTTTAGTGGACATGAGTTTGTTTTCATGAAGAAACCTAAGCAGTGGCAAACCAGAGGCAGCTTTCAAAAGACATGTGTTGGAGTCCACAATAAAAATAAGATGGGAAATTTGTTTACAGGAAAATCAATCTTTTCAAAATGTTTAGCTGAGAGAGAAAGACTACAGAGACAATGACAAACTTCAAGTGGCTTCAGTCTATAGTTTCTAGGACATTATGGGTTTTTTGGTCAGAAAATATATCCTGTATGTGTATGTATTTTCTTAGCTCTCAGTGCCACATGAAACTCCCCAGATACCTGAGTACTGGACACTCTATGAGTAAACACTCCACTAATGTCACAGAAGAATGTGCCAGGGATATTTAATTGCTATACAGAGAGGAAAAAAGTCTGTGTCGTGACCTACTGACCAGACATTTCTTGGCAATTGGTAATCAACTATGTTAGCCTTTTATTGTCTCTCCTGCCATTATCTTCCAGGAAAGGTCTAAGCAAAAGGTCAGAGTAGGTATTGGTTCATTTGTTATCTTTCATGCAGTATGCTGCAGTCAACAGTGTGCTCTCCTCTGAAGGTGAAAGACTTCAGCTTAATTTATCTTGTTTATTTACTGTAGAATTTGGCTACCAAACCCACATGATAACAACAGTTTCTGGTGATAAGAATAGTTTCTCATTTCTGAGAATAATTTTTAATCCTTTCTATGAGCATTAAATTTTAAAATATCTGTATTTGGTAACACACAAACTCCTTTATTGACAGCCTACAGAAGAAACACATTAGAACAGTGACCTGGATCTTAGTTCAGATTACCATTCATTCAAGACTCATTCCGTTCAGGTAAGGTCTGTATTTTGCGCTTACTTGTGAACAGGCAATTGGATTTGCATTCCTTTCCCAAAAACGTCCTTCCTGGTTGCAGGCCCACAGAAGAAAACACTCATTCATAGAAAAAGATGAGGAAAAAAGGGGCAAATGATAGGAAAAAATCATCTAGCAGCTGCGTCCTCTCAGTCAAATGTATTGCATAGAAAGGAGGCAGTGGTAATGTGTATTTCTAGCTTCAGGTGACTTGACTCAAAGTTCTGCATTTTTTGAAGGAATTTAATTTGAAAGTGTTATCTTTGATCAAAAATTGTTTCTTATTCACCTTTGTCCTCCCATGCTGCATTAACAAAGCACTGCTAATATAAATAGGAAAAACGGACATCTGATTACTTTCTTTCTGGGAATGGAAGTGTCTAGCCTAAGGCATGGGGAAACTTCTCTCCCTATCTCTTCTGCTGTAATACTGGAAACATTTAAAATTTATTCATGCCTCTGTGGGAAGCCAACACAGACTGCTCCTATATTTGTCTCCAACATGGAACAGCAGCTGGCAAACAAATGGGCGCCACCACAGCTTTTATGATTGCCATTGGGCAGCTCAGGACTCTCCTGGTCCCTGGACAGGCAGGGTAACACAAGAGATAGGAGAGATTGACTTCTTTCCTCAAAGCCAATAGTTACAATGAGGATCCCCTTCTATTCAGGAAAAAATGGAGTTGCAACATGTGACCTGCCTCTTTTTATTGCTAAAAGCATGGTTTTCTTACCCACTGAAAAGGGCTTGTGTGGCAATGGAGACCTCACTGGGATTTACTTGAGCCATTTGGTCTTCCATTCCTTCCATATGCTGTACTCGTTCCCAAGCAGTGTGTTGAACTAAAGATAATTAATCTCTGCCAGAGTGGTTACTTTGGGTTTTCACTCTGTGAAGACAAACCTCATTGTGATGTCTACAGTGACACTTACAGTTTACACAGAGGTTATTTGCTGCCAGCCAGAACTATATGAATTAGATTTTCCTTCTCCTCTGTGCAGTCTGCACCAAACCCATTTGCTTTGTACTGAGTGATAGTGGCATGAAGTCTACAATAAAGCTTTAATATTTCTAGGACATGACTTATGAGCCACTTGTTCCTTGTGTGAGGCTACAGGGAGAGGTACAAAGGGGCATGGGTCAGAATAGAGATTTTGGGACTTGGAATACGTGGAGTTTCAAGCAGAGAAGTTCAGGGGCTCTGGAGAGCAGAGCAACTCTGGTAGTGGCCTTGTAGAGCAAATACTGGTCTGCTTCACTGTAGGAGAGACTTTGGACTTTTCAGTGAGGCTGGACTGAGCAGGACTGGTCAGGTGCAAAGAGTGCATGGCAAAATTGATTTTTTGTATAACAGAGCACGCTTCTGTCATGCAGTGTTTTTTCTGTCCAGCCTCAGGGATTAGGTTTCCTGTGAGGTCTAAGCACATGAGCATTTTACTCTCATGTTTTTCATTATGAAGCTAGATGTTTGCATCACTTATTGAATTTGAGCTTTATACTCTGACATTTGGATTAGATGTTTAAAAATAAAATGTTCTTTTATTTATGTGCAAAAGTTCCCTCTTTGGTGTGTTGCATGAGAGCAGCTCTTGTTATGCTCTGCTTTTTTTCCTTCTGGGACTGTCTGTGACAGCCACCAGCCGTCATTCTATTTACAGTCGTTACCACAAGGAAATTGGAAACTGCAGCTACTGGGACATGATTATCTTCTTCTTTGTGTCAGGTTTGTCTTTTACTGCAACAGAGCAAAAAAACTGTTTGTACAGCTAATAGAACATTTATCTAGAGATAAACAAAGTGCCATGTCCTGGCTGAATGAGCTGCTGATGTAGAGCTAATTTTGGACAGTCTTACTAGCAGTGGTGAGAAAGAAGGGTGTCAGAAGGGGACTACCTCCCCCCACCCCAACCTACAGTAATGCCCACAGCCCTTCTATAATCAGAAGTGCGGAAGCCTCTAAAGTAATGGCAGCAAGATTCAGATAAGAATCCTGAAGCAAACAGAGGCTGGCATACTTGTTGACCTCTAGGAAAGGACAGTCTTGTGCAATGTTTAGTCAAAGGCTTATAGTGCTTGCCAAAGTGCTTGACTGAACAGCAGTCTAGTTATATTTCCTTCAGTTCAGTGATCAAAGTGATAAAATAATGCCTAAAAAGTCAGGACTCTGCAATCCTTGTTTTATGAAGATAATACACAATTGCATTTTTGTCACTGGGGTGTATGAAGAATTAAATGAAAAAGACATAAATCAGGCAGTGAAATGAACAGTTTTGAACAGTGTACACTACAGCCCTGTCTGTCCCACAGGGATTAGTGTTTCATTATATTTTTTTACCAGGTTGAATTCACAAAACCCACAAACTTAATTTAGCAAATATGTGAAAAGCAAAGAGACAAAAGACCTCAATTGCTAAAACTACCTTTTATTTTCAGCTTATTGTTTTAATTTTAAAAAGATTTTTTGATGGTATACAGCATCCGAATCAGCACCTTTGTATTTACAAACTACAGAGAAACCCTGCCAATTTATGTTTCCTAGTTCTGACTTTTAAATCATGCATAAAATCTTACTCTTTGTTCCTGTTTTCTCTGCACATTACTGCAACAAAGTCACGTGTTGAGGATTCCATTCATAAAATAAGTTTACAGCATATTAAATATTTAGTAATTTCATAATAAATGAAATCTATAATGAAAACGCATATATATATATGTATATGTGTGTGTATATCTATATATAGTGCAGCTTTTGTGATGTGCTATATTAGTGCAGCTTTTGTGATGTGCTATATTTTCTTGGTTTTTATTCATTTACAGTCAAGTTCATAGGAGTATCATTAGTGCAAATTAATGAGATTTTGCTATACAGTTATCTTGTAACAAGCACTTACTTCAACTGATTTAGGCCAGTGTGATGAGTTAATTTTCAGCATCTGGTTTGGTGAGAGATTTCTCAAGCTCTTCTGCAGGATTAGATTTCTTCTGGCTTGGAATAGCAGGTAGGACATGTCTTAGTCTCAGAGGCTCTCCTGATAGACCCGGCAAGAGAGAATAGAGGATGTGACTCTGAGAATGTCCCCTTTTCTGGGATCTGGAGACTGGAGGTGGTGGGAGAATGACTGCACCAGTCCCCAGGGACTTAAACTTCTTAGCAGCCTGAGGTGATAGCTGAACTAGAGGTACAAAAAAAAAGAGAGTGCATAGTCAAACACACAGCATTTTTATAAATGAGTTTGCTACTTTCTTTGAACTATTGCCTCTTATTGCCTATACTCAAACCTGTATTTGAAAAATGTGATCAAAATAAAAAAAACACATAAGCCTGGCAGGACTAATCATCAGCTGAAGAAAACATTTGCAGTGTTAAGTGATTTATTTTGGGTTTGGTGAAAAATAAGACTTGGCAAATTCAAAGTTTTGATTTTGATAAGCAGAGAATCTGTAATTTGTCTGGAGAAAACTTGGTCTTTTGGAGAGATTTCCACAACACATTTTTTCATCACAAACCACAGGCTGACTGAAACAGAAATATTTCATGGGAATATATTATTTTTAACAAAAATGCTCTATTACCCAGGATAAATTTATTACCAGGATAAATGCTGATAAATACCTTAGGAAGATGAAGTGGAAGAATGTGGAACATTGTGTCTGGGTTGATCTAGGCACAAAAAGACATCATAAAGACAGGTCTATACATGCTCTGCTATTCACAGGCCACAGAAGTAGCCCATTACCCTGTGACACAGTGAGATGCACACTGAAACACCAAAGGCACACCTGTTGTATCTCTCTATCGCAGTCTTGTAAGAAGCTGTGAATTTAATCATCTTTAATTTCCACCTCACGCTCAGCAGTGTAACATTATACTTTAATGTTAATATAGCTCTATATATTTTCTAAAATTTATAGTTCTATATCTTCTCTCTTAAAAACAATAGAATTAAAATATAATTCTGTATCTTCTCTCTAAACTGAAATCCTTAAGCTCCTCCATTTTGACAACTCATTAATTTTCTGATTTTTTAAAAGGAGAATTGAGAACCTTAATATAGACCTATTTTTCTCCGCCTTGGAATTTATTGTGAATTGCATTAGCTTCTTTTCATTTTATTCTCAAGCTCATTGTATACAAACAGTTCAGAAGAGTTCCCTACTGGAGTTAACACCATCTCAGTTTCAGCTACAGAATTTTTCCTTGCAATTTTTCACATTCATTTTTCCTTGACTGCATTCTCATTGCATCTGTGATTTCTTCCATCTGCCTAATTGTGATGAATATATGAGAGGCTATTAGCATTTTCCTGAGGTGTTCTGGTTTGAAATTTTGTGTTTTATTTTGCCCTGTTGAAAATATAAAATGTTATCTCTCTAATATGTACAGTAGGCCTTGACTGCATATCTCTACCTCTGTCTCTATCTCTATATCTATATCTGTCTGGAGCAGTATTTTTCCAAGACTTATCAGGTATTGATTTAGGGCAAAGCAGAATCTTTAGAGAGAGGATTTAGAAACTTGGTAGACTTTTTTTTTCTTTTTAAGCTAATTTCAATTACTATTCAAGCTGTTCTGAGCAGACAGTATTTACCAGAGCTGCCAGGCCTTTGGCAGTGTACTGCAATTTGTGAGTCATATTCAAGGTTAATTCATGTTCAGAAAGTCACTTAGTTCCCTTTCCATGAAAAAAACCCAAACCAAACCAATAATACTTTGTTTTAGCTGGTATTCTATTTGTGTGACTCAGGGAGAGCTAAATACAATAAATGAGCCCATTTGTTTTCTGGCACATGGCAGAGTGCTTTGAATTCTCTGAAATTTTGGTGAGTAAACCAAAAGCATTTGTGAGGCTCACTTGTTTCCCTTGTTGGAACGTAGTCACATGTTAATGTATTCAAAGTTCATAACTGTGGGAAAAATATCCAGAACACTTTATGCACTAGCTAAGCCCTTAGTGATGGGCTTAAGTAGGGCAAATCACTATAGTCAACCCCATAACCGGGTAGCCATGACAAATCCATGTTCATTCAAAGAATCCAAACATCAGTGATTTCCTCCTAGTCCCACATACTATGCTCAGTTCAGAATATTTGATTCAGGATTTACGGTACATGGATGGCTTTGAAACAATACATATAATGACATGTATTGAAACCCATGAGCCTGAACTGGGATCTGTGAGAGCCAGAGCCCTTAAGGCAGGCTCTCATACATCCAGGAGCTACATACAGGAAAAGCACCAGTAATTATTCACATGCAAAGCGCACAGTCACCCACTGAAGACCTAGTGGTACAGTACAAGATACTAATTCAGGGAGCTTTTTCAGCTCACTAGTGACTCTTGAGAGGCTGTTATTACGAACTGCAAAGGTAAAAATAAAGCTATTGAAGAGGCATTGCCCAAGGAGTATATCATCCAGCAGAAGGGACTGCAAACAGTGGACAATGATGGCCTTCTGCAGAGATGTGTGTGCTTTTGTGAAGTGGTTTGCAGTTAACTTGGGAAAGAAGAAATCATGGTGATCAACAGGAAAACCAACCACCACTCCCGAGAAAATATTGTTAAATGATCTGTAGAAACAGGTTTTTTAAGTAGTTTTTTGTTTGAGTTTTTTGTTGTTGTTTTTTCATTCAACAAGTACTAAGGTCACTTCCTTCAGAAACAATGTGGTGTAAGACCTTCTAAGCCATATGAAGAAGTGAGAGCAGCCAAGAGTTCTCTAAAGTCCCATATTTTTATTGGAAAATTATTCTGTCATTCTGTGAGGGGTGTGTAATAGTTATAAGCCTGTTTTCCAGGGCTTGTTGGGAGTATTGCATGATGAAATACAAAGAGTGTTCTGGAGGTGAAGCAGCAGCATGCAGAATAAGAGATGCACTATGTGCTGAGGCTACTCAAGAAACCATGTGAGGAACCTCTCTGACCTTGGGAATATCTTGAGCATGAGAATTTATAAACTGTGGTTTAAAGTCACTCAAGTGCTCTTTTTGTAGGTTACTGTTTCATTTTCCATTTTCTAATGTGTGTTTTTGAATGTTTCTGCTCAGAGATTTTAGCATTTCTTCTTTTTTTTTTTTTTTTTTTTTTTTTTTTTTTTTTTTTTTTTTTTTTTTTTTTTTTTTTTTTTTTTTTTTTTTTTTTTTTTTTTTTTTTTTTTTTTCATAGCCCTTCCTTTTTTAGGGGAGATGTTTCTTCTTTCTGTTAATTTCTGAGTAGTTTCAGTTCTCTTTCTAGTTTATGCTTATTTTATTGTTCTAGCTTTTTGGTTGCTTTTATTTTTTATATTGCATGTTTTCAACACATATCTTATGTAATATAAATATTAGAGAAACACAAATGATGATGTTCAATCTTTGTTGCTGGAGCACTTTGCCTGGATAAAGGCTGTGTCCAGAACGATAATATTTTTAGGGCTGGATGGAGAACGAGTGAAATCTTGGCTCTGGAACAGCTATTTGGAAAGCTCTAGGAGCAAATGTGTCATTTATGTTAAGAAAGAAAAAATGTAGTTTATTTTGCAAATAATTTTGCTTTTCTGTTACTGGCTTGAAATAATATTCAGCCAGTAATGGTACCTGGATGAATGTGCTGTGTTAGTTAATTGTTATTAGTTGTGGTAATCTTATCTTATTTGTAAAACAATTTTTTTGGCAAGAGACTAGAACTAAATCCTTGACTATTTATATGAATTACTGTAAGAACAGTAATGATTATGAAATATTTTTTTTACAATTATGCTATAAGTAGAAGACAGAGAATGCTAGTAGAAAGCTTAAAAAAATTGAACGCTTGGAGTTGGGATTTTAAAAGCACTTTTCTTTCCTCAGAGCAGACAGAGAATACCACCTCAGTAGTTCACATCTCTACTTTTTCCTTTTTTATTTGCAGAGAAGCAGCAGTGCAGGATTCTGTATATGCCCACCCTATCTGATGTTCCCTATAAGGCTACCTCTGCTGTTTCATTTTTAGTAATATTGTTATAACTGCAGAACTGCTTCTGAAACTCAGATTATAAGAGGCAGAGAGTCTTAAATTTAGCTCTGAAATATGAGTGGTTTGGGGTCTGGCTGATCTGCAGGATGACAAACAATAGACTGCAAATCCTCATCCAGTATACACTGGGAGATTTGTCCTCTGTGGAACAGAAAAATGAGAGGGCAGGACACTGCTGGGGGTAGGGATAGTGTTTGTAATATGAAGAACACCCCAGCTGCTGGCTTGATCCAGCAATCGAACCATCACTAAGTCTTGACACTCTGCCAAGGCTGTGGGAGTGGGGTGAAGCTTTCCTGCTCTTTGGGATTGTACTTCAACAAGCCGAGTGTGAGCCAGCAATGTGCTCTTGAAGCTAAAAGTGCCAACAGCATCTGGGGCTGCATCAGGAAAAGCGATACCAGCAGATTGTGGGAGGGGATTTTTCCCCTCTACTCAGCTTGGGTGAGACACCTGGAGTAGTCAGTCCAGTTCTGAGGCCCCCAGTATAAGAGAGACATGGACATACTTAAGGAAGTCCAGTGAAAGGCAATAGAGATGATTAAAGGATTGGAGTGTCCAGCCTCAAAGGGAAGCCTGAAAGAGCTGGGACTGTTCAGCCTTGAGAAGAGATGGCAGCTCAGGGGATCTTGTTAATATATATAGATATTTGATTGGAGGGAGTAATGGAGAATGAGACAGACTCTTCTCACTGGTGTCTTACACAGGGAAAGGAGTCAATGGCCAGAAGTAAGTAAGAAGAAACTTTTTTACTCTGAAGGTGGTTAAACACTGGAACAGTTGGCCCAGAGAAACTGCATAGTCTCAATCTCCATTCACAGATGTATTTAAAACATAACTGGATTGATCCTGAGCAACCTGCCATAGGAGATTTCTCTGTGGGCAGAGAGGTTTACAGAGTCTCCAAAGGTGTCTTCCAACCTCAGCCATTCTATGATGCTTTGAAAAAGGAACATGAAACCTCTCTCAAGCCCTCAGATGCCAGTGATAGAGGCACACAGTGTGATACTGTTAACTGATACTTGTCTGTACTTACTTTTGTGAGCACAGTGGTTGGGTATGGGAGCTAAGCTGTTCCGTATAGGAGTAAGATTTTTTTTTGTGTGTTTGTCTATGGACGCTTGTTGAAAATGTTTACCTGTGAAAGAAAAATAATTGTAAATAATACACTCTGCACTGTAAATTTCTAACTTCTAGGAAAAAAAAATTGAAAACTTAGTAATTCTCAGAACTGTGTAATAACAAGAAACCACTGACTGAGAAGAAAATCTCTTGCTTAGTTTGCTTTATATTAATTAAAAGGAGTGATTGATATAACCTTCACATATAGTCTTACCACTTTATCTCATATAATTTAGTATTAGCTCTTAAAACAGGCACAGTCCCAATAGCTAGCTCTCCATAAGAATATTTGGATACTAAATTAGTAGAATCACTCAACTAGATTGATTTGATTTCAGAATTGAAGCTTTAGTTTGCAAAATACTCTAGTAGGGTCTCATCCTTTCTCAGTACTAGAACACAAATGGAGTTCAGCTGCTGGTTGGAAAAGGAGACTGGCTGAAGTCTATTTGCAATAAAGATGAGCTTTGAGAGTGTTTTGCTGCAGATGAAAATGTATGAGAATTTGTATAAACTGATACTGATCCTTATTAAACTCTGTTTATGGCAATTTCATTTTTACAAAGAAGAATGGATACTGAAAAATGAAAGGTTGATTAGCTAACTGTGGCATATCACTGGTTAAGACAAGTTAACTTTGGTCTAATACTATTAAAATAGACAGTATGTTAGATGATGTAATGCATTTCACTAAATAAATGACACAACTAATATTGGAAAAGTAGAAACGCAAGCATCAAATCATCATTTTCTCCAGATTATTTTCTTGAGTTGATCTTACTCTGTGATGTTTGAGTCCCTCAAATTATTTTTCTCGTTATCACCAGATCTACGATGAGCTTTGCTATGAGTTGTCCCGCAAATAGCTGCTCATCCATCAGGACATTGTAACATAGCTCACTGCACAGCAAGCATATGCTCTGTCAGCACACAGGGACAAGAGGAGACACAGGATGGATGTAGCAGGACATCTTAAGCAACAGGAGGAGACAGAATGATATTGCCTTTGAGGCTTTGTAAAGACTTGTAACTTTGTAAAAACTTGAAAATACCTATGTATTGCTGGGCTGTGCAAGATAAAGCTACAGAAAAATAGCTGTATAGTTGTTTACTAGAGCTGCACTGAAGTAGTTGTCAAGACTGGTGTAACTACCCCACTACTTTACTACCACATTAAATGGATTCTGTGTGAAAGGAGCTAAACTGGTGTTTATGAGACAAACTACCACATTATAGTGCAGCCTTCACCTCAGCATGGAAGAAGATTCTCATCTAAAAACCACAACAGTTATAGACATTGGGTCAGACTGCTGGATCTTGTGAGTAAAGATGATGTGTATTGAGCTAAAGCATGAAGAATCTTGTATAACGGAGTTGTGCCTAATAGAAACAGACTTTGTTTTCCTTTTCCTGTACTTTACTCTTTATTTAGTCTTTAACACTTCTAGTGTCTAGCTGGTAAATTTCTTCTACAGACATTGCATCCACTTTCACAAAGAACTAAATATATCAATTTCAATATAGCAGAGAATCATCTGTTGCTCTCATTAGTACAATTTGAATTATATTGGTTTAAGTGATGCTTATGCTGAGAACGAATGGATTATTATGTATGTACTATTATAGCTTTCATGATGGGAGATTGTTGTTGCTATCAAGAGATATGTTTATTTCATGAATGGGGATATCTGGCAGCAAAACAACAGTACAAAGCATAATCATGTTTGCAAGACTGATCTGAATGCTTGGAAAAGAATACTTTTTAAAAAAGTTCTGGCATCCAGTGCAAGTATTCTTCTGCTCTTCCTTCCTATTTGTTCCATGTAACATCTGAAAAAATAGTTTTTCTTTCTTTGAGACATCATCTTTGCTGTCCCCAAGAGCACACTTATGATGGCATTTATTTTTGAATGAAATGGAAAGGAAGCAATTTCATTATTATAAAATGCAGGACTGCATTTGGTTTTGTTTGCTGACATTTTTTTACACATTGTTCTTTTTGAACCAGGTTGAGCTGTGTTTTAGGTAAAAGTTGTTAATATTATGATGAATGTCCCACTGTAAATTGGTTCTTCAGCTTGAGAAAGCAACACCCACCCCAATCAGCTTTGCTCTACTCTTTCCTGGCCAAGAAATACTTCCTGTTGGACTACACTATCCTGCTTATACCAATATAAACTTAATAATAGCCTGCTTTTCACATTACCTATTCAAGCAAATAGAAGGTACTGGGTTACTTTAATAAAATCTGTAATAAAGTATCATTGTAGACCTGTAAGTTTAGTAATCTAAAAGATGAGTGAGTGATATGCTCTCAGAGCTGCCTTGTATTCGAGACAGGCTTCCTTTTTCACATGTCACTTGAAATTTCTCTACTTACACCATTTTTCCCTGTGGAATGTAGCTGGCAGTACATTTTGCAAAAAGGGATGATTGCAAAGCTCACAAATACAAAATGCTTTGGATTGTTGATGCCAGCTCAGTACTGTGGCTGGGAAACCATCTTGCAGTATTGACAGTACTTTTTGGTATAGTCTATCTTTGCTCGTCTCAGTAGAGGGCAAGACAAAGCAGTAATTCTGAGAGAAACCAAGGGCATAAAAGTAAGGTAATTCTCACTGTTACCCATAGCAACCTCTCCCCTTTGTGTAAGTGCTAATGCTCAGCTAGTAAATTGACTCATCTTTCATTCCCAGGAGCACAGAAAACAGAACAAAAAAACCTCTAAAAGGTTTGGCACATGTGTGTGCCAGCTGCCTTTGTAGCAGTGAGCACAAAAATTAGCTCTGACTTTATTAACAGACATGGCCATGCAAGACAATCAACACTGTGTCAACAGAGAAAAAATTTTCAAATTGAGTTCCTTTAGATTATTGATACCCATACATAATCCTGGCCTAAGTATTCAGTGAGTAGGAAATTACATGTAGCTCCCACAGTCATGAACTGAGAAATGAAGTATTAACACTTCAATGCCTTCAAAACTCATATGTTGTTTTTACTACTCAGCTAAGTCTTTAGCAGAGAAAAACCCCAAACAAGCCAAGTAAAAAACTCCAACAACAAACAACAACATATATTTTTCCTCAGAGAGGGCTGCCTGCATAGCACTGCTGGCTGGACTGGAGCCAGGCTTACTTTGCTACCGATCCCTCTAAGTCCACAGTGCACTGGAGACCTGGAAGTCCTGGAGCTCATACAGTAAATGCAGTTCTAATTCACAGCAAGTCAGGTGGCTTTAATTACAGGGGCAGACAGATTTAAACCACACACATAGGCATGAAGAAGGATAAGCAGATCTTTTTATCATGAAGGAATGTTAGACAATATCTGTGTTGAGCACTGTATTCCTCTGCCTCCTTATAGGCTTTTCATTCATATGTTTCAGAGGAAGTCCTTCTTGCCAGCTACAGGAATAATTTTTATTATTGGAAATTTTTGCTAAAGGGAGCTGTACAAAGAGAACTGGGCTTAAAGCAGACTTAGTATTTTTATTCTCTGAGGGAGATAATAAAATTTCAGAAATAAAATTACTTAGTTTTCCTTTGGACATGCAAAAGTGGCTCCCATTGTAACAATTAGAAGAATTCAAATTATTGATATGACTTTGCCCTTATTCATACATGTAGACTTCTGGTACTATTCCCAGCTCATGTGCAGATCATGGAACATCAAGTGGATGCACAGAGTCTGTCCTATTTCAGCTGATTTTTATCACAGGATGTTCATAGAAACATCTTTTCTAGGAAAACCACCTATCCTTCTGTCCAGAGCAAACAAAGATTTAAATTTTTTCTTGAGACTGTAGTATACTACATTTGCTAATGCATCAAATGTTTTAATAGTCTAGCAAATTACAAAACATTTCCCAGAAATAACTGTCCCCCAATTTGGTTTATTCAGTTTGAGTTCATTCCTCCTACTGCTGTCCACTTCAATAATCTCAAATGTCTTAGCCTCACTGTGCCTTGTTACACTGAGGCTGCAAAGAAGCCCTGCAGGTATTCTCATGTTCCACATGTGAGCTGAACCTTGCAGAGTTCAGTGCAGAATCAGTTGTGCAGAAGCAATCCTTGCTAGGCATGTGGAGAGTAGGGTTCATATGGCTGAGTGAACAGGGGAAGTGTACATAGTAAAAAAGCAGTGACACCTATAGAGCAGTTCTATTAAGCTTTTAGGAATGTGGCCTGATGTTTGGGAAGTGGAACTTTTTTATTAGGTCCTTTTTCCTGGAAAAGCTATTTCCAGCCTTTATTTGCACAACATAAAATAGCCTGTCATTCTGAAGTTGCTGTCTCTATTTGTCAGACATGTGCACAAAGATCTGCTTTTTTATAGTTTACTTAGATGTCAGTGATAGTGCAGTTTACACTATCATGCAGCTAATTGGGGGTTCTTCCTAAACAGGATTTCTGTTCACTTCTCTTTCCACTGGAGGGTAATGGCTCATGTCTCTTGGGGTGGGTATAGATCAACTTATTGTATAATGTTTACTTCTTTTAATGGTGTACTGGTAAGTTTGGGGTTGCTTGCTTCATTTTCAGTTGGATGTTGCAATAGTTGGAAGGTATGCTAGATGTGTTTAATTTTGGCATGGGACTAACCCCAAAGGAGATGAAGTTGAAGACACTGATACGTTGAAGTAAACTCCTGCACACAGGCCAGCCAGCCAGATTCATTTAAACATGGATGTGAGTCAAACAAAATAACACATCCCAAATCCAGCCAAACCCTGGTTTCAAATTCACCTTAGAATTTGCAGGCTCTGCTTCATTACTTTTGCATTACAACTTCCAGACCACTGCATAAAAGCATTTACTCCATCTCTGTAAATTTATCAAAGCTGAATTCAGCTTTGGAGAAACCTGAATAACAGCATATTAGACCAAGGAGCTGGCACTAAGGGTGAGAGGAGTGGAAAGAGGTGCCACTGCAGCCTGCAGTCAGAATATTCCTATATGGGGAAAGTGGCATGGTGTAGAGCTGTCCAGCATGGCAGTGGATGTGGTTGGATCCAGAGGCAGCTCTCAGCACAGTTTCAAGTTTGAGTGCAGTGCTGTTCCCTTGCACATTGTCCATGACACACATCTGCTTCCAGGACTAGATATGGACACAAGGCAGCAGGTGTGGTAGTGGGTGTTAGCATGCAATTCACAAAGCATGTATATGATCTGGAGGCACTTACTGCCCAAGTACCTTACGTGCTTCCTAAACATCTGCATTTTTGCTTGCTCATAAGACCTACTCAATTCTTTTATTTCCCACACCTTCAGCTTTCAAGTGATGTCCCGTCATGCTATCTGTAGTGACTACTACATACTGGGAGAAGATACTGAAAAAATATTAAAGAAATAGAAACGTTATGGGTCCCTATTTTTTTCTGACTCAGCTTGCCATATCAGTCTGTATTATAAGATTTGTGATGAAGACAAGAAAAAAAGATTACCTGATGGAGAACTGGAAAGTGAGGGAAGGCAGGGAGGGCACAAAAGCACATTGTGAGATCTATCAGAGTTTAAATCATTTATCAGTTTGTCTGAAGAAGTCCTAGACCAGACTTTGTAGGAGGGTAGCTGGTTAGAGTCTGCATTCCAGGGATCATCCAGCAAAGCCTGGCTGCTGCTTCTGTGGTCCAGCAAGCTGTGTTCACTCCTACTCTTTTGAGGCTTGTGTGGAAAATGGTGGGTACTGGTGCTAAAAGAGAAGCTTGATATTGTGCTCTGGGAAGCAGTCAGGAAGGAATTGCCTGCAGTGATTGGGGGGAGGCTCTGTGTGCTGATGGGCAGAAGTCCCTGACATGCTGGTTGCTTCTTTTCTGGTATGAGATACTTTGTGTCTGTGCTCCTTCTTTTAAAGTCAGGGGTGGTCATACAGTGATCTGGAATGTCTTTGCAATTTGTGTTCATAATGCAGTCAAAACGGGTGATGATATCATCTACTTCTGAGGTCTCTTCTTTAGGATATTGATCTCTGCTTCTCTCCTTTTGACTGGTTTTCTGAGCTTCTTTCTTTGTTTTGCAAGAGAAGATGTGGTTCAGCATACTGAATCGTCCTTCTTTCTTTATACGTCTGTCGTCCTGGGAAGCAAACTGATGAACTGATTCAGATCTACTGGAAGTACAAATCAAAATGTGATGGCAGTATTACCAAACAATTTTAAAATACTAACTGTGTTAGTCCATGAAATAAGTGGGTTCAAAACCATTGGTCTTTGTATTATGATCTATTTGGAAAATGGTATTTCCAACAGTACGGTTGTTGCTAACACTGTAACAAAGGCACTAGTTTGCCATTACTTCCCTTCTTTTTCCCTTTCCTTTTCCCCCTTTGCCCTTTCCCCTTGCCTTGCCTTGCCTAGGTTTGAGGAGTCCAGCACAGTTTCAGATCAATCAAGATAATTACCTACAGCGGTATTGCTGTAGTAGTTTTGAGATTAACGTCCTCTAACAGACAGAGTGCAGGAGGAGGAGAGGTAATATTACCCATGTCTCACAATTTGTAACATAGGAAATAATACTAACAGCTGACTGGAAAGGAGGGGAAAGCACAAAGAAATGTGATGATAAATGTAAGTGCATGCTCATTTACCAAAGCTGAAGAATAGAAGTTGATTAAATAACAGCTGCTGAAACACGAAAAATACAAAGAGAGAGGAAGATCATAAGCAATAACTCTTTTGTCATACTTTTAAACAAAGAAGAACTCAGAAGAGACAATCAAGGTAGAGAAATAAAGAAGGCTAGGAAAATAATCTCAAACCCTTACCTTGAGGATGAAAACTTGAGATTTTTTTTATTGTCTATCTGGCAGAGTTGCTTTTGTATTCAGTCTATCTGTCTGTCGTATCACAAAAACACACAGCTAGTGCATAGAGATTTCACAAAAGTGGGATATATATCTGGGGGCTGAAACTATTCTGTAGGACAGATTTTCTGCTCGAAGGTGACTGGGCCAGAGCTATACTCACTACTTCAGAACCCTGTGCTGGTTGGTAGACTAGTATTGTAGCCTCAGTAATGTGTCTTTGATAGATGACTAATTCTGATGTTGCTACCTTGGCGGAAAGCTTGAACTGAGTACTGCATGGGAATCATGAAGACATCACACAGGGCTCAAACTCTTCACTAGCATACAGAAAGCAATACATTTGTTTTCTAGTAAGTGGCAACATGTGAGCAAGGTGTGAACTTTACCTTTACCTGCTCTCCTGAGACAGCAGCTTGATGCATGCTGTGTGCCCACAGTACATTGCATATGTCAGAGGAGTGTTTTCATTGATGTCTCGAGGGCTGCTGTCTATCCCCAGTTCTAATAGTGTCTGCACACAGTCAGCTCTCCCTGCTGCTGCAGCCCAGTGCAAAGGAGTCCTACAGAAAAAAGGGGAGTATCATTAAAATAGCTGAATGGATTTACTACTAAAACTGTTAATGACATAATGAGGTGTGCATTGGATATGCTCCTTGTCCAGATTTATGACATGCATTTTAAGGAATTCTTCAGCAACTTATTCCACATTGGCACAGATGCATTTATTTAGCTGTAGATAAAGTAGATACAGGGCTGTACTATACATGCTGTAAAACAGCATCTCCTCCACTGCTGGAATTGCAGAGTAGGAGGAGTGCATAAAGTTTGCAGAGAAAAATTTGAAAAAAAGCTTTGTAGCGCTGCATAGGGACTTTGTCCCACTGCATAGGGACTTTGTCCCGCTGCATAGGAACAAACTCTGCTCATCTTTACACAAACACAATTAGCTTTGGTTGGCACAGAGTTCTCAATGAAGGTAGTAAGAGAAGAAGCCTCTCCTAGATGAATGAGAAGGTCTGAACACATCTTCCAGACTGCCACTGTCACTTTGCCAATTTCTGTGTTCTATGATGGGCACAGACCAAAGCACATACAATTGTTTTAAATCTGTGTAGAAGAATCAAACTGATGTTCTGCTTGGCAGAAAATCTGCACCTTGTATTTGGAAACTTTAGTCCAGTTTCGAAATTGTAATATTATGGTCTTGTGAAAAACTGGAAAGCATAAAAAACATCACAAGTAAACAGTTTAAGAATGATAAATAAAACTGACATTTCTTTGTCTGTTTCTCTGCAATCCCAGCAATTTCAAATGGGTACAGTTAGAAACACAATAGAATGAAAATCTATTTTGTGTGTTAATAGCAAATAGCTTATTTTTCCCCCTCTTCAAGTACAATATGTTTTGTGGAAATATCTGAGAATTTGTAATAGGTGGTCTTGTCTTAATGAACTCTGAAGTGTTGTTAATCTCCTCCCTTTGCCCTTCTTTCCACAGAAACACAGCCTTCTCAACTACATTTTACTGGTGTTTAAAATTTCTCCAGAACCTTGTTTGTTTTATTTCTGTTCTGTTTTACCGCACTTTTCCATGAAGAATGATATTATTTTAAGTACTTGAAGGTCTAAGCCAAGAAAACCTTGGCTTTCAATGAGCAGGATAATCAATGTGAACAGCCAGTTGGTTCTGTTTGCATTAACTAAATTCATGAGCAAAGTTCCAAGGGAGGTAGGTGTGGGTGAAAAAGAGGAACGATGACTCTTCTGCACTTACAAAACAGAGATTTCAACCTAAAAGGAATCAAACGCCTTGTCAGAATGGAAAGTGAAGATCCTCTGGTCCCATAGGAATACTGTGTTAACATCGTAAATGCAACAAAGGAACACTGCCATTTCTTAAATACACACAGCAGCAGCATCCAACCTTCAAGTTGTAGGATCCTGTTCTATTGTTTTGAAAAGAATGTTCCCTTTTGATTGAAAGAAATCAAGCGGTGACAAAGTTCTTTCACAAATAATCTTATCTTTTCCTACCAGAAACACATAGCCTTCCTACTAGTCCATTATTATACTAGGTACGATACATGTGAGCTGGGCTGGTTTGCAGTGTTTCTGAGCAAGCAGAGTTCTCTGTAGAGTGCAGTTCATTAATTAGCCCATGGCCTGTGAAACAGGAACATGATTATATAATAAACAGAGCTGGTCTCAGGTTAATAAAAAGGAAGCAGCAATTTTACTTTCAGAGTTTCCATGGTTACCTGTCATCCACATCCAGGGCCTGCAGGTTACACTTTGGGACTTTGGCCAGCTCACTGATAATATCACTGTAGCCTGCAGCAGCAGCAATGTGCACACATGTTTTGCCATTCTCATCGTCATAGTTTATTATTGAGGGTCCCTGGCAGTGGTCCAGAATGATGGAACACAGAATCCTGTTGCCACTCTGGAAGGAAGTTCAGAGAAGAAAAGCATTTTACAATGGAGCTCACACCAAGCTGCATTTTCTCTGCTAGAGAATGCTGAATACAGTAATGGGGTTTTTTTGTGTATACCGGACTCCCTAGGTATGAAGCCAAAAGCTTCCAATCTCCTTCTGGGAATTATGTTTGCTTTATGAATTTCCTAGAACACTCTGAACACTGGAAAAATAATAAATAACGTACCACTGCAGATATCTCCAAAAGTTGCAGAGTGTAAGTTACTCAACAGAAATTACTTGGGATTTTGCTGTTTTGCTAAGCCAGTCTCCAGAAGACACAAGCTTGTATTTTCTCATAGAAATTTAGGGCTGGAAAGAAATTTAGGGCTGAAGAGACCAAACCATAACTGTAAGTCTGTTCCAGTACATCTAGAAAAGCCATGTCAAATATTTGCTCAAGTGGTTCTTGAAAACTTTCTCGGTTAATTTGCTTCAGTCTCTTAATAGAAAGTTGACATTGTTCTCTAACTTGCAAATGAAATTGAAGAATTTTTATCCTAACTTGGTGGAAATAGAGAAAAAAAATTCATGACTTTTTTTATAACAACAGAAACATAGGGTTGGAAAGGTCTTTCTCTATCATCAAACTCAATCCCTGCAGTCACTTGTAGCTATGTTACATCATCCCTTTCATAAAATTCCTGTGTTCACTAAAGACAGTTAAGTTTTTTTGCCCCCATTACTCCCAAAGGAATGTAGTTCAAGACCTTCTTTGTTCTACTGATTAGTATCTCTAATTTCTATTCATACTCATGGCTGATTATATCCCTTTTTTTCTGTTCCAGGAATATATAAATAATGGCCAGTCTTCGCGAACGAAGAACCGGGGAAGGTCTTTACACCTTCCAGCCTGCGCATTGGATTTTTTAGGTGAGACACAGTGTGCGCAGAACTGAGCCCAACCTTTAATCCTGAGGTTCACCTGCTGGGGCCAAGTGAGCTTGGACGGTGGCAGCGAGGTCCTCAGGACGTAGATGGATTGCCTTACAGGGCTAACGAGCTCCATCTGCCCGGGGAGTGGCCCCGACCGGGAATCGAACCTGGGTCTCGGCGGTGACAGCGCCGCGTCCTTAACCACTAGACCACCAGGGGCTCCAGGAATATTATTTAGATTAAATACTTCTTTCCTTTAACTGGTATTTGTTCTTCAGATGTATTTATAAGCAATCATCATATCTCTTCCCGTGTTGTTCTTCTGCTGCTCTAATCAATCAAGATCTTTTAAGTTTTCTTTGAAAAATATGCTTCCTATTTCTCTTATCAACCTACTAACCTTTCTCCTTTTTAATTGTGTTTCCTTTAACAGGGATGACTAAAATTGTACCTAGTCATACACAGACATTTTTTCCTGATCTTTGTACAATGACACTAGCTCTTCCCTATTTGTATTGGAGGTATTTTGTGTTAGAAATAGCTCTTTTGGTATGTCATAGAACACCATTTGTCTCATTCACAGCTGTGTTCCATTAAAAGCTCCTAGTCATTTTGGAATAACCCTTTACACATCAGTACTTGTCTTCCATAGTTGTTTCCTAGCCTAGAGTTTCTAGTTTTGGGTAGGACCTTCTGTTACACCCAAATGCATGACTTGAACAGTTTATCCTATTAAATTTTGTCCTGTTTGTATTACTCAAGACTTTAAGGTGATTCAGCTTCCCTTATACTGATATCCCCATTCTATTAATGTCTTCCAGTTTTTTATTATTTGTAGATTTCATCAGAAAGCCCCTGTATTTTGTGCCAAGTTATTATGGAAATATTAAGCAAGAATGATTTCAAGTTTTATCCCTGAAAGTAATTTCCTTTCAGTCTCTATTCAACATTTAATCATATTCTCAACTTACTGATTTTAGGATATAACACCTGTCACTCCTCTGTACTTTTGTATGATAGCTGTTTATTCTAAATATATAGACATCCATTATCTCAAGCCTCTTCTATACACTTTTCTTCTCCACTCTCAGTATGCATCTTCCTGCTAAAATTTGCACCATTGAGAGGATACATTCCAGGTCCCTGGAACATTGTGATCTCACAACTACACAGTCCAGCTGAGAATTTAATTGACTAAAACATGCCCCCCTAAAACCAGGATTTTTGTTTTGTATGTACATTTGTTTTGTATGTACAGATGTTTAGTTAAGAATCTGCTCTTGATCATGTCAAGCTTATTTTCTATGACCAGGCATTTTATAATGTCCTCATTACCATGTTAAAATTGTTAATTTACAGTTGCTGGGTCTTCATTTTCAGGAATAGTGACATCCTATGAATAACAGTTGTTTTTATTCTCCAGTCTCTATGCCAAAGACCAATATCCTCCATCCTGGTGTTAATTCCCAGTTACAGTTTTTGGTCATTAGCATCAGAGAAATCTCTACTCACAGGGCTAAGTGAGTTTAGAAGTCTATTACATACTTCTAGTATTACCAGAATAAATATCTCTCTATTACCATCCTTCTCTAAGTCAGTTTTGATACAAAAAATTGTTAACATTAGCATCTTACTATTTCTGTATTCACATTATTGTGTCACTGCTATTCCTCTGGTTTTATACTGTTTTGGTAAGTCCAAATTTCACCACTTGCTCCTGCAGTTTCAGTCCCTCAGTTTCTTGCACAACTCTTACCATTCACATAAGACAATTCCCACTGTTCTTACTGCAATTTAAACATGTACACACTGTTCTGCCTCCCACAAATCTTCCATTTTCTAGACTAAACAAACCATTTCAACCTCTCTGGGCAGGTCAGTATTTCCAACCCACTTATCATACTTGGTCCTTACTTTAGGCCTGTTTCCAGTTTGTCTAGAGCTTTTTTCAACCACGGCACTCCAAAGGACATAATTAACCAGCTAAGGCTCCTGTCCTGACACTGAAAATGACATTGCTACTTCCTGTAGTCCACATGTACCATACTTTTGTTAATATGTTCCAGAATTATGTTTGTTTGATGTATATCAACAATGTAACCCAAACTCCTACTCACTTTTGTAAATCTACTGATCTATTACTCTTAATTTTTTAAAAACAGCTTTAATTTTTCACAGTTCTGTATACAATGTTATTTTATTAATTTCAGTTAATTCCTAAAATTTATCAAAATAATTTTAGGTTTCATCCTGACCCATGAAGTGCTTGGCGTCCCAGTAATTTGGTTCTAACTGTGGGTTATATATGTGTTCTGTATTCCAAGACCTTGTTATGGAACAAATAAAAACACTCATATGATAAATCCCTTGTTGGACTCTCTATGAGATGTTCACCTCCAAAGATTATTTGAACTGTCCTGAATCTGGCTGATAGAGACTATATGATGTGTGACAGAAGTCCCCAGTTGATTTTGATTGCATTATTCCTTATTCTTTCCCTCTGGCACACCTATCTTTGGACTGAATTCTGGTTCCATTACAGCATGCTGTGCTTATAAAAGTTGTACTATTGATGTCGTTGAGTGTGATTAAACTCGCAAGTACTGTTCAGAACAGAAAGGGACAATTAGACTCTTAATGATCACTCAACTTGGCACATGCTTAACAAGGTTTCTCTACCATGTGATGAACTTTATCTTGTTGGCACTTTTTCAGTATTTTTGTGTTGCACTACATGGGATTAAACTGAGAAACTGACATTCAAACATGCTATATCTAATAGCATCTTATCTGAGGAAGCAATAATTGCTTTGAAGATGGCTATGAAATTTATGACCCATTTTAACAATTCAATCAAACTGTTAATTCCATTTTCTAAGTAAACAGAGGATATCTCCTAATTTTTGAACCTTCTGCTGAACGAAATCTCTGGCCAACAGCTCTGTGGCTTTTCAGCTCCCTCTTCTTAGGAATGCCTTCTTATCTTTACATTCATCTTGGCTCTTTTAAATTGCACACAAAATTATCCTAAAATGCTTACACTGCCCTTATTCTTAGATTGATAGGTTTGAGTTGTGGTCGCCAAAAATGTAGTGCTCCAGTGGTAAATTTACCACAGTACTATTGTTAGACCAGGATGTTCAGCGGTAAATTTACCATAGGAAAATTACATGTTTCTGTAACCTTACAAAACCTTTCAAATTCTTTTCAACAGTGTTCTCAGAGATAATCAGTCCGTTTTGCTATATATTTCTATACAATTCTGCAGGGGCATTCCCCTCAGGCTTTGTTAAACTTCAGTCCCATCTCACACCTTTATCTGCTTCCACCCATTATTCATTCTGCTTAGTGAACTTTTCTTCTTTCTTAGATCACTTATCTCAATTAAACTTAATTTAGGAAAAAGAAATGTCCTAAAGGTTCAATTCACAAGCCTTTGTAAGGAAGTCTCTCTTTGTGCTTTATGCAAACTTTTGTCTGAGATTTGTGTCATTTCCATACAATGACAAACAGCAAATTCACTAACAGGGTATTAGTTCTCACAGTTGGTTATAACTCCATTTTCTATAGGTTGGTTAATAAAATGTCAAACTTCAGACAGTTGCATCTCTTGCTGCTTTCCAAATAAGAAAATAATAGCTCAGGAAGTATCTACTGCCTCAAGTACCATGAGAAGGACACGTTTCTGGTTTTGGCACTTCTTTCACCTATGCCTGCTCAATTTATCATCATTGTTACTACAGCCATGGTTCTTATACTTCAGCATTTTCTATGTCCAACTGATATATAGAAGAAAAATTTTACTTGGAAAGTTTATTCTCACTTACGTTATATTCTACCATAACATCGCATTCCATTCTATCAAGTCTTCAGTCGTAAGTATTGCAATGTTTTCTTTGTTCACTGCACTGTATAGAGGGTTAAATTTTTTCCCCCTCTTCAGAATACTCTAGTAAACTAAGTAATTTAATGCCAAAGAGGAGAGTTATGTGAAAGGAGTTTGCTAAGCTGGCTACCAGTAATGTAGAGGTGGGAGGGGGAGAAGGACAAGCTATGGACCACTTAACTGTTTTCAGGAAGCCTGGCCAAAA